ATGCCATGCCCGATTTACGAAGTTTCTGAAGTTCCGAATCTTCCTCATCACCAACCTCATCTAGAGTGACAAAACCTTCCATACTCCCTGGGAAATGACGCTTTTTTAGCTTTTTCTTTGCAGCTGCCGAAGCACTGGCATTTCCATCTTTTTTCACAGCTTTGTCCGAAGGTTCCTTTTTCCCATCAGAAGCCACATCACCTAAATTAGCAAGATCTGTCTCATCTCCCACTGAACTGCCACTTTCTAGCAGTGCTGCTGCTTCTTCTTCATCTACAAGTAGCTCATCTTCAGATTCAAGAAGCATGTTAGGTTCTTGCTCAGCTTGGTCATCCTTTGTATCTTTTTCACCATCTTCACCTGACTTCTCTTCTTGTTCTTTACCTTCAGTTGTACTTTCAGTCTTCTGGGAACCAACAGTCTTGGATTTCTTATCGCTTGGAGATTCTTTGCCATCTGGAGAATAAGATCTTTTCCGAGATTTATCTTTCTTCAGTAAGTCAATGCCTCTGTTGGGAATCCTCAGTACCAATTTTTTATATTTTTCAGACAAGTCTACTTTCACACATCTCCCCTGAAACCAAAGGGCCTTTTTCGAACAGTGGTCAACCATTGCCATTGCATCTTCCCTGGTCTCCATCTCAGTAAAGGCCTGACTTTTCATCCTCATCAGTATATAATTTTTTATTTTTCCATAAGGCTCAGCAAGCTTGAGAACTGCACTGTCAGAATAGCCAGAATGAGGTAAATTGCTGAGATGTATCACACGTCCAAGCTCTTGCTTTTGATCAAACTTCTGGTCTGGCTTCCCCTCAGGTTTCTTTATTCTTTTATACTTCTGTGATAAATGAACTCTCACTGGCTTGCCAAATACTAATGCTGGTGTGGTTGTATAATAATCCACTGCAGCTTGAGCATCCTCTGTAGTTGCCATTTCAATAAATGCCTAAAATTGGACAAAATTATCATTTCTGAAATAAAAGAACAATGCCAAGTCTTTCTAGATATATTTAATCATTAGAAAGCATTTTTAAGAGTCTAAAAACAGAACCAACATTGCTAATTTGCTATTATTTATTTATTTAATTATTATGCTATGTTAATCACCATACATTACAGCATTAGTTTCTGTAATTTGCTATTTTTTTAAAAGGTCATCTCAGATTTTACTATCTTCATGCTACTCAAGTGTCATTATGTCTACTGTATTTGAAACAATAATTTGGCACCCATTTTGGTAAAAGTTTAGACTGGCTTCTCAAATAATTATCATCCTTTATAAAAGAGCCCTTATAATAATAATATGATAATTTTACTGCTTAAGGACCACAATAAATTTACTAAATAATCCATTAGGCTGAGAAATTAATGTTACTGACACACTTCAACTCTTTGCTTTTTTCTCTATTAAATTCCGTATTAATGATTTAAAATTATATTGAGTTTTCACTCTCTCTCAAATAAAATAAAATTTAAAAAAATTATATTGAGTTCTTTTTATAATACAAAATCATGTAATTCCTTCAGGAAATATATTAGTAATGAATAAATACTACACTTATTTCAACTCATACCTCATTAATTTTATTTAGAATCAGATGATTTGAAATGACTCCAAACGGTTCCACCAGCTGTAATAGTTGATATCTCAAGTTTTTCCCTCGCTGAAAATCCATGATGTGAACAACTCTACTTGTTTCCTATCCATTAGGAAAAAATCAAGTCAAGAAGTCTCTTTAGAATCAAGATGAAACAAGTTATATATTAGAAGTTTCAAGTCTAAAGTTAACCACACCAGATTAAGTATTTAAAACTACTCCTTAACATTCTAGAGAATTTTAAAACTACACAGGAAGTCAGATTCACTGGGATATATCCCAAAGTTTCAGAAAGCCTCTGCAGTTATTTTTAAATAGAATACTGTACACATAAATGGGCAGCAAAATTTGGTACACTCAAGGTGAGATCTCTATACTATGGGTATATGAAAAAAGTCATGTAAAAGCCTGATGGTTTTCAAGCAATAGCAGTCTTTCTATAATAAAGAACTACAATACAGGTTCAATTTATAGAAATCTCGAAGTTAAATTACATTTCCCCAAAAAACAAAGTAAAAGAACTGTATTACTGACCACTCTGCCTTTCTGCATGTGTCTTGGTCCTTGCAGGTTCCCATTTCCAGCACCTTTATGGAGAAAAAGTGGTTTTTTTAATCTTATAATAAATACACTTAACAGTTTTAAGTGAAAAATGAGACAT